TTCTGCTGACCTCTGTAGCAGACAAGGAGCTGCTCAGAGCTTCTGAAGCTCCTGGTGTGGTCCACGTATATGCGCAGCGCTCTTACGGGACACAGCAACACCAAGGCTGGATCTGCCTCCTCTGAGGGCAGCACTTGCAGGTTCACGGAAGGGAGTGGTGGGAACCTTGGGCACGTATCCAGGCCAGGGTCTCAGGACAACGTGAGAGTAGGCTGGCCCGAACACAAGGAACTCTTCGCTCACCGAAAAGGTTTGGAGGTCCCCGACCCTCTTGATGGAAGTGATCGCGATCAGGAGCGCTGTCTTAGCAGACAGGAACTTAAGCTCAACCGATTCCAGTGGCTCAAAGGGACCCTTCTGAAGTCCAGCCAGGACAACAGAGAGATCCCAGGAGGGTCCTGAGGATCCCCTCAGTAACCTAACGATCAGGTCTGCATCATGATGTGCTGCAATAGCAGCAACATACACTTTCAAGGTGGAGGGTGACAGCCCATGGTCCAACCTTTCTTGCAGGAAAGACAGCACGATTCTAATTGGGCATCTCCGAGGTTCTTCTCGGTGAGAAGAACACCAGTTCACAAACAAACTTTACTTCAAGGCATAGGCTCGCCTAGTAGAGGGAGCTCTAGCCTGAGTAATAGTGTCAGCCACTGCTGGTGGCAGATTACTTAGGTCCGCTGTGTCCTGTGCAGGAGCCACACGTGGAGGTTCCAAAGATCTGGATGTGGGTGTCATATGGTGCTCAGGACCTTCTTTCTCAGGGGCATCTGCAAGGTCCGGGTGAGCCATTAAGGCGCAACAAACACGACCTGTTCCTCGTCCTCTCTGACCTTGCACAGTGTCTGTGCGAGAAGGCTCACTGGGGGAAATGCATACTTGCGTAGAGTCCAGGGCCAGCTGTGTGCCAGTGCATCCATGCCCAGGGGGGCCTGCGCCAGGGAATAGTACAACTGGCAGTGGGAGGAATCGTGGGAAGCAAACAGGTCTACCCGAGCTTCTCTGATTCGACTCCAAATCATCTGGACCGACTGGGGATGGAGTCGCCATTCTCCAGGGAAAGTGAGCTGTAGTGAGAGCTAGAGGTCTGCTACCCGACCCGAGCCCGACGGGTACCGAAATACTTTCGGGTTTCGGTTCGGGTTAATGTTTAATGAATAGCTTCGGGTTGGGCTCGGTTTATAGCTAAACTAAAACTATATGCAGGCTACGCTGCTTTCATAGACGCATGCACACACATTATTGCACATGACAACACAGCACGGAAACTTTTATTAGTAAAATAGCTTCGACAGGCTACTGACTCGCAACGTTATATTTCTCTGCAATGAGGGGGTAAAATTGCTGTTTTTGAAGGAACTAAGCCTCATTGCTTGTAGAGAGAGATGTGCAGACGCAGGTTCACACACGCAACTTTCATCTCTCTCTCTCACGCGCGCTAATTCAAATAAATTATATAATTAATTAATTCAAATAAATGCAATCTTACCGCACTGCATCTCTGTGTCTGATTTAAAGCAGGCCGGATGCTAACAAGCCTTAACTGATGAAAATGACCATAATTTGCACGATGGAAGAATTATCGTCTTGTCGTATACAACCATTCAAAAACTGGTAAGTTTTTTTTCTTTTGCCTTGTGAACTGGCCGAGCCTTAATGATTCTGTTTCTTTACATGTATTTGTTTACTGACCGTTGCATGCAATCGTGAAATACAGCATTTTTTTAAATTGGCTATTTGTTGTGTGGAAAAAAAAAAGATGTCGGGTTCGGGCTCTAAATTTAACTGTGCCACTCGGGTCGGGTCGGGTCAGGTCAGACGATCTCGAGTATGGACCGGGTTCGGGCTTCACTTTAAAGCCCGTGCAGACCTCTAGTGAGAGCACATCCACTGCGCGATTGAGCTCCCCCGGAATGTGGATGGTGCGCATCGTCTTGAGCGGTGTCTGACTCCAGAGGAGGAGATGACAGGCGAGTTGTGACATGTGATGTGATCGAAGACCACCCTGCTGGTTGATGTACGAAACAGCCGCAGTGTTGTAGGTGCGGACCAACACGTGTTTGTCCAGCAGCAGGGGCCGGAACTGCCGCAAGGCCAGATGCACTGCCAGCTACTCCAGACAGTTGATGTGCCAAAGCAATCGAAGCCCTATCCAGGACCCAATGCTGCCTGCCCGCTGCACGTAGCGCCCCAGCCCATCTTGGAGGCATCCGTCGTGACAACGACATGCCGAGACACTTGTTCTAAGGGCACTCCGGCCCGTAGAAAGGCAAGGTCCGACCAGGGGCTGAATGAGCGGCAACACATCGGCGTGATGGTCAGTCACGGGAGTGTAACCAGTGGTCTGTGGATATGAAGCAATCCAAGCGGCGTGACTGTGGCTGCAGCTGCGGATGCCATTTGCCCCAGGATCCTCTGAAAGTGTTCCAGTCATACCACCGTCCTGCCTCTGAAGGAACTCAGGCAGTTCAGCACTGACTGGACGTGCTCTTTGGTGAGACGTGCCGTCATACTACCCGAGTCTAACTCCATACCAAGAAAAGAGAGGAAGTGTCGAGACATCAAAGTATGCGTACTTCAGGTCGATCGTTGCAAACCAATCCTGGAATTGAATGCATTTGACGATGCGTTTCTGTGTCAACATCTTGAACGGAAGCTTGTGAAGGGCCCTGTTTAAGACTCGCAGATCAAGGATTGGCCAAAGGCCACTGCTTTTTTGGGCACGATGAAGTAACGGCTGTAAAACCCCTTCCTCATCTCGCCAATTGGACAGCAATCTCCTCGCGCAGAACAGAGGTGTCTTGGGCTTCCACCAAAGTCTCGAGAATGCCACTGAACCTGGAGTCGAACCGTCCAAATAAGCCAGCAGGAATGGGTTGGGCAGCGCAAGCCATGCTCCCAAGCTCCGTACGAGTGGCACCAAAAGGACAGTCGACGTACCTGCAGTGGTGCAGCAATCGGGAGTCCTGCTGTATGGCCCAGAAGGCATTGTGTTCAGGCTCATCGCAGCAGAATTCCCTATATCCCCAGACAAATTGGCTAGAGACGTGCTGGAAGGTATGGCGGCCCCAGCCATGGTGGGCGAGGGTGAGGAGGCTGCGCGTCGCTCACTGTCAACCCACGAGCCTTGCAACCCGGAGGAAAAGGAAACTGATCTTTCTTTGAGAATGTGGTAACAGAAAGAAAAGAAAACAAAAGATTCTCCACCTGGGCTTCCACCGTGGGAAGGAGCAGCACTGTCATCACCACCTCCTGAAAAGCAGTCTCTCACATCTCCGAGTTGCCCGTATTAGTCTTCCTAGAGGACTTAGCGGCCCTGTGCGACATGGGGGGCGCCTCCTTCCTGCGTGTAGCTCGATGTGCCTGCCTTGATGTTGTCTCAGCATGGGACGGAGCAGCTGTGGAGGATGCAGGAGGCCGCCTGTGACGACAAGCAGGCTGAGACAAGGCCCGCTATGGAAAGGTGGCAGCTGGAGGATCATGTCGGGGCAAGATGTGCTGAATGGCCTCAGTCTTCTTCTGCACTGCCAAGAACTGCTGGGCAAAGTCTTCGACAGTGTCTCCAAACAGGCCAGCCAGGGAGATGGGAGTGTCAAGTGTCAAGAAAGTGTACTTTGCCAATTTCTCTCATCTTAGCCAGGTTGAGCCAGAGATGCCTCTCTTGGACCACTAACGTGGACATCGCCTTCCCGAGGGACCGTGACTTTTGTCATCCGGAGAACGAAGTCAGTTGCCGTGCGCAGCTCCTGCATTAACCTTGGGTCAGTACTACCCTTGTGGATTTGTTTAAGTGCCTTGGCTTGGTGGACCTGCAGGATAGCCATGGCATGCAGGGCAGAGGCGGCTTGCCCGCAGCACTATAAGCTTTGGCAGCAAGAACCGCCGACATCTTACAGGTTTTGGATGGGAGACATGGACGATTCCTCCAAGTGGCGGCGTTTTGCAGGCACAGGTGCAACCACTCTCTCCACCTGGGTAATGTCGACGTACCTCCTAGCCGCCCCGTCATCGAGGGTAATGAGGACGGAGGAAGAAGACGTGCGGTTTCTGGCCATAAAAGGGGCCGTCCACGACTTTGTCACTTCCTCATGCACCTCCAGGAAGAAAGGAACCGGGGCAGAACACGGTTGTGAGACACGCTGTGCGCAGAGAAACCAATCAGGGCTGGGCGGTGTATTCATCTCCAGCCCGATGCTCACGGCTGCCTGCAAAATCATGGCCACCAACTCCGAGTCGGCGGTGACAACAACACCCGAGGTGGCAGCCCAACCGAATCTTCATCCTCAGAGGGCAATGGCCCATCCCCCGATGCTGCTATTGACATCTGATTCTCAGGCAGCGCTCTGAATGAAACGCTGGGACCGCCGTGAAATGGGCCAGCAGAATCACTTAGAAGCTGCACAGGACAAGTGCTGCAGAAGGAGTGAGAGGTCCGTGGGGCTTGGCCCGGCGGAGAGGCTCTCACTGTAATCCTCAGATCTCCCAGAGCACTAGCTGGCTGTCTTCTGCTCGTGGCAGAGAAACCGGAATAGATAATGGCAGAGGGGTCTGCCCTTGTCCCTTTTAAGAATGGAGAGATGTGAATGCAGGGTTGCCATGGTCATGCACTCAGTGCGGGCATGAACCATCCACAAATGCGTCTTCAACGTGCTGAATGCCCAGACATGGAAGACAACGCTCGTGGCCATCATCAGAGGACAGGAAACAACCGCAACCAAGAGGACACGGACGAAACGGAATCTTTAAAAACATGTGAATCGTCCATGATTTGCTTGTAAGGGAAACAGGTCAATTTAGCTCAAAGGGAATCATTTAAGATTTTAAAGGGACTTTGGACAGAATCACTGTTTTACGGCTGATCACTGAGACGGCCAGCGATTCATTGAACGAGCCGTATAACATAACAACTCTGCAATGGATATCAATATCCAAAATATAGTGAAAACACTATTAATTAGCACAGTAACAAGATCGGCAGCTTAAGACATTAACTTGTAAGCACAAAACTTTTGACCTCTGCTTCTCACAGAACACACCCTCAAAAAGCGCGAAATCTGATGGTGTCCTGAGTATTTAAACCGGGTTGTTGGCCACATCCCAAATGGTGTTTTGACCAATTAGACACTGTCTTAGCTCGGGGTGTTGCGATGTTTCTCCTCCCAATTCATAAATCAAATGTTATCTTATCAGTCAAAAGGTCCGAATTTTCCCGCTCTTGTAGAGTATAATTTTGGACATAATTTCTATAACAAGAATATGATACATTTGACAAAGAATTGATTGGAAGAAACGTTTCAAGCAAGAAGATTCAAACACGCATACTAAACATGAATATGAAGTTATTCAATAGTTATTAAAAAGACATACACAATACGTGATTAAAACATATCAAATCTTAAATTGTCTGATTCGGTCTGATACCCTACAGCTCTTTTAGGAAATCTGCTTTTTTAGATGAAGCACCCAGGGGAATCGCTGAGGGACACTGCTGTCTGTGCCGTAACGCCACATCGAACAGGTTCTTTAGCAGAGGAGAAAGGCTTTGAGTAACACTCTGCTCCGAAGCAAAAATCTGAATGAGTGGATGCACGCTGTCGCCTTATATACCTGTATGTACTGGGAGTGGATTAGCATGCAAATTCCACTAGCCAATTCTCATTGGCATTTTCTCTTAAAGTCAGAGGTGATAAGGGCTCCCAAGTTAGACCCCCAATGTCATCATAACATAACTTGAAGAACTGGATACAGCCACTGAATGTCCAATAGTGCATGCCAGCAGTTTCAGTATTGGCAGTACTTTCTGCAAAAAGATATTGTTAAATTGACCTTAATCATTAAGAGATACACCCCTTCAGATATTTAGCAATTTATTTCCTTTCAGTTAGGCTACATTTGTGTTTTCCATGGATGAAGGTGACATCTGAACCTGATAGCTCTTATATTATTGTTTTCAGAGGCAGTTTTCATGTCTTCTCTGCTGTCTTCTTCTTCGCAATCAATTGCTTAAATTTCAGATTTCTCAACACACAGTTGGCAGATGTTTATAGGTTCTGCAGGTGCCAGTAAGAGGCAGATTACATCTAACTGCCACAAATAGCATAAATTATATTAGCATATATTCTATCTAATAGTCTAAACTAACAGTTCTTATAGAGAAGTGTATAACACAGAGGCTAGGAGCGCAAAGTAAAAAAGAGACTACATAAAAAACCTCATAGAAAGGGGTACAAAGTCCCCTGCGCTTGACCCTTATCTGCCTCTGGGGATTGGCCCTTGGATGAAATCCCCTGGCTCTGAGGAACAACTGAAAAGGTCTCATGTGCAGGAGGCCCAAAGGTATCACCATGGATACAGCCGCCATGAGAATTAGAACCTTTTGAAAGTAATGGAGAGTAACTTTTTTGGGGAAGTCGTGGCCCAATGGTTAGAGAGTCGGACTCGTAACCCAAAGGTTACGGGTTCGAGTCTCGTACCGGCAGGGATTGTAGGTGGGGGGGAGTGAATGTACAGCGCTCTCTCCCACCTTCAATACCACAACTGAGGTGCCCTTGAGCAAGGCACCGAACCCCCAACTGCTCCCCGGGCGCCGCAGCATAAATGGCTGCCCACTGCTCTGGGTGTGTGTGTGTTCACTGCTGTGTGTGTGCACTTTGGATGGGTTAAATGCAGAGCACTAATTCCAAGTATGGGTCACTGGAATGGCCTGGAAGGGCCAGGTTTGCCCACCCCTGCTTTAGGGTGTTCAGAATGGATTTGACACAGGCGGGAGACAGCTGTGTCTGCATTGTGATCAAATCCCATACAACCCCCAAATACATTGTCCTCTGGGCGGGAGAGAGAACTCTTTTCTTGCCACTGAGTCTCTACCCAAGAGACTTGAGATGAGTGAGGATGACATCCTGATGTCAAAGCGCAAGCTCTTGAGACTGGGCCAAAATCAGCCAGTTGTCTATGTAATTAAAATGTGGATGCTCTGGAGTCGCAGCAGAGCCAGTGCTGCATCCATGCATTTTGTGGATGTGCAGGATGACAAGGTTAGTCTAAATGGAAGAAGCCGATACTGGTAAGCTTTGCCCCCAAAAGTGAACCTCAGGAACTTCCTGTGTTGTGGCAAAATTCCTATATGAAAGTATGTGCCTTGAGATCATTTGTCACAAACCAATCCCCGGACTGGATCTGAGACACAATATTTTTGATTGTCAACATTTTGAACTTGTATGTTCTGAGGTAGCGGTCAACCTACGAAGATTCAAAATTGAACGCAGCCCCCCATCTTTTTTTGGGAACCAGAAAATACCGGCTTTAATAGCTTGGTTCTCTGTCTGCAAGAGGAACATGTGCTATGGCCCCTTTGTCCAGCAGAGTTTGCAATTCCTGTGTAAGCAAAAGCTCTTGTTCCTGATTCATGGTAGTGGAGACCATGCCATTGGAACTCGGAGGACAATAGATCGATGTTCGGTGTCATGAAACAAGGCAGGAGACGACGAACATGTAACATTTAGCTGGAAACCGCTGCCCCCTGTAACATCAGTGGTGGCGGAGATTGTACAGCGTTCCCCTGAGGGTGCCCGGAAGGATCCCCTACTCTCTGTTGGAATTGTTTGCACCCCTCCCTGAGGGTACACACCCCCACAGTCCTGAGTGCACCACTCTCAGGACTTCTTTTTGGTCGCGATGACCATTCTTAGGTCTGGCTTCCTCTGGTGGCTGAGTGTGGCGAGCCACTCCTCTTTATGAGGGGGTGCACGACTCACCACATTCTCTTTCTGGGATTCCCGCCTCAGAGGAGCCAGACCATGTTGGGACTGGGTGGCTGTCAGCCATGATACTTGAGCATGGCAAGGGAGAAACTTGTGGAAAGCTTTCTCGTGCCGCTTTGCCTCCCGGAACCTACTGACGACTGTGTTGACAGAGTCATCAAATAGGCCAGAAGGCGACACAGGGGCATCACAGGAGGAACACCTTGCCCCTGTCCTTGATGCCCAGGTTAATCCATAAGTGCCTCTCCATGGCGACCATAGCAACCATAGAATGGCATGAGCCGTCTGCTTGACAGATCTGAGGGCACAAAGGCACGGAATGAATAAGGCTTACTCGATGAATGAGTTATCTCGCCATGGATATCACCAAAGAAGGAGAGAGACCATCACTGAGGTCCCTCCCTTTGGCCACCTGACAGAAATCTGTCATCCAGATTGGAGCATCTGGGGGTCTCTTGCTCCTGCTGCCAGTCTAGCTTTAACCGGGCGTCCTGAAATGCTCTTTGTTTGCATGTTTCAATGTTTACGAATAGATTAAATAAAAAAGGACATAGTTAATCTTGACTATCTATATGTCATTCTAAAGGTCTAAGCCTCAACCATCGATGATAGATCGCATTTTTTCAATGGACAGCTTATAAGGAATGTATTTGCTAAATTTGTGTAAGCAGTACTCATCAAAACATGCATAATAAAAATGGAGTACATACCAGTATGATCGCAATAACGAGTGGCAAACGCATCTACTGATGTAAATCCCGGTTTAGTTCAAAAGGTAGGGGGTCCACAGAACAACATCCCATAGAGCTTTTTTAGTCCAGTGAAACAATAATGTTGTAATATGGATGGTTATTCCTTTGTTTACGTCACATTTTTTCAGGGAGAATTATTGTTTGTATTCATTACGGAATAACTTACATGCCAAAAAACGGTGTCTCGATAGTGGAAAGCAACATGGTTTTCTAGTCTACAGTGTTAAAAACTAAAAAAAAAAGTCAAAGATAGGTGAATCTTGTCCATAAACATCCAAACTTTGCAGCCGTTTGTAGTGACGCATTGCTATGCACAACCTATCATTGACTCTTTACAATTCCAGCAAGTGACATTATGGAAGCGATATGATTGATGGAAAATCTAGCCAATGAGTGCACGATTCTAATGATATATGGGAAGTTTACATTCCTCACATGGACAAGTTGTTGTGTTTATGTTCATTCAGACCCTCTCCGTGCTCAAAATTGTGACTAGCTCATGACGTGCGCTGTGACGAACCTGTCATCTGTCAGGGGGTGTGGTACATATCTCAGCTCTTTGTACAAAAAAGTTGTTTCTAGCTAGTATTTGCTGGGCTAGGAATGTATATATAGCATACAATTATATATATACAGAGGTGTAAAGTATTTAAGTAAATGTAATTAGTAACTGTACTTGAGTATCTTTTCTGGTACTTTGTAGTTGTACTGAGTATCAAAGATATTAGCAACTTTTACTCTTTACTTCACTACATTTTTGAATGAGTATCTGTACTCTTTACTCCACTACATTTGAAATGAGTGTTGCAGTTACACATTACATTTTGCATGGACCTAGCTTTTTCTGCAGCAGTTTATTTCTGCTACAAAAGACATGATACTGCCTATTACAGGTCACTGAAAGTACTGCATCTTATGTGTTTTGCGCTTACTCACCCAAACTTTTCAACAAGGCTACTTTATGTGAATGCGAGTTCCTTAGCAAGTATTTGTGAATCACAGGTGTTTTATATATGACATCTGTATGACCGGCCATCAGCGTGTGATTACTGACTGTATGACCGGCCATCAGTTTGAATGCTGAATGTCTGGCCATCAGAGTGAATGTTGATTGTATGGCCAGCCAGAGGATAAAAAAAAACTACTACATAGTCTAAGAAAAATGTTTGCAGGAATCAAATTTTTCATGATATCTTCCTCAAATTTGAAATATAAACTCATGAGACGTGCCTTTCAAATCATATTTTTTTTCTGGAGGCACTTCGGAGTCTATAACTTTTTATCTTTATGAGCATTATCAACTCTGGATGCTGGATAGTAAAGCCCAAAGGGTCTTCTTTCAAAAGATAAATTGTGTATGCAGCACACTGTTGTCAGGAACTGTTACCATTAAGTTGGACGAAGTGACGGTGCCGTTTAACAGGTTAACCTGGCCACTGCCCAAGTCACCACCTCATATGTTATATCATAGCAAGAGGAGCGCTCAGAGTCTGCGCTTTCTAAC